TTAAGATCCAAACACTTAGCACTAGATGGTTAATTTCCTGTGTGAACACTCCCTGTTGGAAGGGACCCTGTACTGGGAACCAGTCCACTGGGAGACTCCCTGGCAAAGTTCAGCAAAAACGCTGAAATAATTTTCCACATGCAACTGAGGTACTTCAGTGGGTGGGCTATCTACCAGCCTTGGATAAAGCGACAGCAGTTTATTCCTACCAAAAAAACGTTCAGAACATACTGTAAAAAATTTCTTACGATATTGTGCTGCGCCTTTACTAGATTATCTGGTTCTAGAGGTTATCAGAGTCACAAAGGGCAAGTTCCCAGAAACAGCTCAGGCTGTCTGGTAATCATCCCAAGCTGCATGATAGTACTTCCAACTACTGCTTTTAAAAAAGCAAAGTCTGTGTTTATTTGACAGTGAGTTCAGTGTCCCTGTAAATACAGCTCTTTGTTTTAGGGCAGAGAGCAGAAAAACACAACACGGGAATAAAATAGGATGGCTTTCCCTGAAGGTGCTTGTTCACAAAGGAGAAATTCGCCAGATGAGACTTTGTGCTACTGTCTCTGACCTCTATATCCCTCTTAAATAACAAATAAGGGGCGGGGTTGTTTGGTCCTGATGTTTAATAGGTTTGCTTTGCCATAGCATAGTGGAAGCCACATATTTTAGTTTTGAAAAATAGCCTTCCCCCTCCAATTTCTAAATATATGTTTATTTCTGGATAGTTTTTTAGATCAGTTGCTGAACAAAAGTACTGAGGGATGGGGTAAACTTGCTTTGGACTGAAATGCAAATTCTAGTTTATAAATTCAAATGTTTGTTTCTTGTGTGAAATAGTTTGTGCTTCATGTTTAAGGAATGACATCTTAGGCATTCAGAAATCTAGCTCTTAGTTATCTTGCTTTTCTGATCAGTTGGGAGGTGGTGAAGACTGACAGGTCTCCCTCCCCACACCCCTTTCTGAGACAGTCCATGGGTTTGGATCGTCACGTAGGACAGCAAGCCTCTGGTTTCAGTTTCCCTCTCTGCATGAGAGTATTCTAAACCACAAACGAACCATGAAACTCAGGAAAGTCAAAAGAAATTTTTCCACTTTACTCAGCCAGATGCTGTCCAGTTGCAGCTGAGGTTAATAGCTCCTTTGCCTCAGAGTGTATTTCCATCATCAGAAGGAGTATGGGGACGGCTGAGCAATCCTGCCAGGTTCCTAAGACACAGCACTGGGAGCAGGAATCCCAAATACTCAGATTGCATCATTCCTTTGAAGTCACTCCTTCTTTGACTTCAGTTGTGGTAATGATTTATATCAGCTGATCTTTAGAGCCAAAAATAGAACTGTTTTGACGTGACCTTGGATGTGCATATTGAATCACCTATCTGGGTTTCGGATGATCCACATCATAAACAGTCACATTATTTCCCTTGAGTTTTATGTTGTTACCTGCTGGATGGGCTGTTAGAAGCTGAAATTTTCATGAGAGACCATAGGAAGTAGATGCTAATGTTTGATACTCAAATTTTGAGTTAGGTTTTCTCTGAAGATCTCACAGGGAGAGCTTTGTAAATTTTAGGTGTTATGCAAATAACAGCTATTACTGTTCTCTCGGCACATCAGATCCTGATTTGCTGTTTGGATTATCTAATCACTGTCAGCCCAAGTATTTGGAGTGGAAGTAATTACAGCAGTACTTTCAACTAATTCCTATTCATGGAGTAGTAGTAAAAATGTTGATCGGAGGGATAAGTGAGCTAAGTATTCATGATGGAATAGGCACCTCAGAGCATCTGGGGCTGGTTCTTGTTGCTGCTGCCAAAACAGCTGTAACAGTGTAAACAGTTCACGTGCCGTCTTCAACTTGAAGACATACTGACAAGTGTCAGACACTTACTAGATCATACTTCGATGGTATCAAAGACCTAATTACTTGCCCTGAATTGGAGCTTGTAACAGGGTCTATGATTAATTAGCTCTCTGTCTTGGGCACATCATCCCTTCTGTTCACTGGCTACACTAAAGGTCTTTCAGTGCTCCTCAGGGTCTTTCAGATGCTGTCAGATTGGTTGTTCATAGAATGATTTGAGTTGGAAGGGATCTTTAAAGGCCATCTAGTCCAACCCCTTTTTCTATTGCTTTATTACTAGAGGTTTAGGGTATCATGTATTTTATGCTTTGTTAATGTGGTGCTGGATGTTCACCTGGGAGATATGTGTGTCATGGGAGCATAGAAATGGGACTGTACCTATTCTTGATGGCTCCAGTATCTCATTGTTGAAGGCACTAAGCAGGTTTCAGGTGAGGGGATGTATCATCTTTGTGAGTTTGTTCATTTAAACTCAGCAGAGAGGAGTTAACCATCAGATCACTAACATTAATGGGATTCTGATCTGTATATTGAGGCAAAAAATTGTTCATTGTCTCTAATCAAAACAAAATATTCTACTTTAAACTACTATTGCAAGAGAATCGCTCTGTCTAGAGATTCCACAAGAGGAGAGAGCTGGCTAGCTCATACAGAAGGAGAAAGCTCAGGGGAGGGATCTTAACGAACTAACTTTCCTTCAGTTTGCTCAAGTTAGCATCATGAATGCCATTTATGCTTTATAGGTGTAGTTACTTGGGTCATGATGATGTTGTCCTGAGGCACTGGCATAACGTATTCCAACCCTGGGACTATTTTGTTAAAGATTTCTTGTACTATGGGAGTGAAACCAAAACTCAGAGGTCAATATTTATATTGCAGGTTGGTTTGACTTCGGCATCCTTGGAGGTACTTGGATGTAACAGGGTCTTTTGTTTGTTTTGGGTTTTAATTTGTTGTTTTTTCGGTTTTTTGTTTGTTTTTTCTTTTTTCTTCTTTTTTTTTTGTTTTTTTAATCCCCTAGCTGTGCCCTGATTCAGATCTAAATCCAAGAATTAGTCTTGGATTAGTCATTGTTGAACTGCAGTAATAAATTCCAGTAGCACCAATTTATAGCCATCTACCATGCTTGACTGGAGTTGACTGTTAATAGTACTTATGCTCCTAGTAGCATTTGGAAGGGCAGTAACTGTCCTGGATCTGTGCCTTGCTGGAGGTAGAGCAAAACTTTATTTCCTTATTTGTATTGAAATGGTTATTCTCCTGTTCTGTCCCTATTTCTGCATGCTGCTGAGCTCACTATGGCAGCTACAGCTTTGAGAGGCTTGCTGACCCAGAGGGGTGCTTCTGAGTGCAGATGGTTTGAGCAGGACATCATCATGTTGTAGTTGTCCTCGTGTGTGTTGTACAATGGCAAATGCATTATTAAAGGATTCTAGTCTCTTCTATGGGCTTCTAATTGCTAAGTTAAAACTATAGGCTTTTGAAAAACAAAAGGTCTAAATACTCAAACTTTAGTCAAGCTCTTTTAGGTGGGTTTTGAAGAGGTTTTTTTGTCAGGTGTGATGAGGTTATCTGGGCCCAGCAAACAAGATTCTCAGACGAGAAATGTAGAAAGTCTCTTCCAGTATAAGTGGGTGACTATCTGTATTGCTTTTTTGGTGGTAAGCTCTCATTTTGGTCAGTGTCTAGTAATTCTTGAACAATTCAGTTCAAGCCCTTGCATTAAACAGAACAGGTTGATTGGCCAATAAGCTGGAAAATTGGAAGAAAATCTTGATGGGTTCAGCTGGTACCTGGCATCAGAGCAGCCTGTCCATATGCTAAATGCTTCTGCAGCCAAGTGGACCAGGAGTATGAGTGCCCACTTGTGAGGCAGAATAATAAAGCTGGGAGGGGGGGGAGAAATAATATGGTTCCCTGAACATCTTTATAGAAACAGCTGAAGCTTGTGAAAGAAGCACAGCTAGTCAGATAACAATCATTTTTGGGCACAGAAATAAAGTTATAGTTGTTTTCCATGGACATGATTGTTTTGTGCTGAATACATCGTTTAGAAACCCATCAGGGGTTCAAAGGATGGAGTTACCTTGTCTGCTGGTTGCCTGTTGGGTGCTGTCTTAGCTGGAGGCAGTGAGATGTTTTGATGGGGATCATCACTGATCACTACAGTGAATTTGTGCTGCTCGGGAGCTCTGCCAGAGCAATGAAATACTTGATAATGGCTGATCAGATATTTTTTCTTTGAAATCACACTAATTTTAGTGGAGGTTTTGTTTTATTCCGAATTTACCAGGTGTTACTTTAGAATTACTGATTAGATGCTGTTAACAGTTGGCAAGGCTTATAATTCTTTCATTCTATATGGCCAGTATGTTATCTAAGATGAGATCTATGGTTTTGAATGTAAGAGGATGGTAGAAAGTGCACCACAGTTAAAAAATAGGTGGGAAGATTGCCAGAAGTGGGTGCAGAAGTTTGAGAGATGAAGTAGCTTAATGCTGCAGATGAAAAGATGTTCTTTCAACCCCTCTGCACAGACAGAGTCTCCTTTGAGTGACTTGAGTTTAAAGTCAACTGGACCTTGAAAGCAAAACACCAGTTGTCAGAGTGGTCCTGGGTTCTACAGTTAAACGATGTCTTTTCCATTACCCGGTAATTCAGTTCCTTCTCCCTTATGTATCCTCATTTACCTTTATACATAGAATATACACTTACAGTTTTAGCTCTTACGTGTGTGATAGAATTTCTATTCCTACCTGTCTGCTCAAGGTTTCTTCATGTCTATCTTAAGCATGCAAGACTGCAACCAGTAACAAATCCACATGGAAAAGCATGTCACTTTATTTTAAAAAACTTGTTTCCCAGAAAGCCCTACATTTGCAAGCATAATTGCAGCTCTTTCTTCCTAGCACCTTTCATGCAAGCATGCACTGTCTTCATAAGAATTTCTGATGGTATTGTAATTCAAAAGAAACAGGATGTAACTACCCGTTAACTTGATTATTTATCTTTTGTCTAAGCTTCTGAGAGCCATTACTTGTAGCTCCAGAGCAACAGCTGATTTATGAGTTTAACTTCTACGTAAATATTAGTGATATTCAGGTCATTGGAGATGCCAAGTTTATTCTCTTGTGTTTCCAGATTTACCAGAGATGCTGGTTAGTATTCAAAAAAGCTTCAAGCAAAGGCCCAAAGAGGCTGGAGAAATTCTCAGATGAACGAGCTGCTTACTTTAGATGCTATCACAAGGTAAGACATGGTAATATGGTTGTTTCTCAAACTCGTTTCTACATAGGGTCAAGAATAAAATCTGAGGTTGTCATGTATTAATTGGCTTGAAAACTGGAACTTTTTTTCCTATTGAGGTCCTAAACCTGCTTGTATGTTCCTTCATTCAGTAGAGGCAGAGTAAATGTTCTGTTTTCTACTTTGTAGCAAACATTTTGCTAAGCTAATAGAAAATTACTTTATTTTTAGAGATGTCCTTTTCTTAGCCCTTCAAAATCAGAGCTGAAATACTTTTCCGTGACTACTACTCTTTGGAATTACAGTCACAAATATCTGAGGCAACATGAATTAAAAAAATCTGGGTACTTAGATGTTCCCATTTCACTAGGATTTTGCATTTGTGGAAGATGTAGACAGCTACAGATATGAAGGGCAACGTGCAAATTTTATGTGCAATGGTGATGTGAAAACATCTGCTATATTCACCAGTGTTAAAAGAATGAAGTTCTTCCCTCTAATCCCTTCTCTGGAGTTATGTGCACATTTCATATTTGTCTGAGATTTTACATGTGTAATTCTCCTGGGCGTGGAGATGAAAATAAGAAACCCTTTAATTTATAATCATTGTTGGCAAAATCTTAATATATTAGAAGATTAGGAATTCTGTGCATAAATTCCTAGGATTGGGTGAGCACAGCTCAGCTTGAGGCTGATCTGCACTTGCTCACTTTGACGTACGTTTAGGAGGAAATTTGGAGGGAATACTGAATCTGAATCTGTCTGTCTACACGCTGTGTAATTTGTAATTCATTGGCCGCAAAACCTGTGGCTATTTGTAGTAAGTCATGCCCAGAAATAGTTCTTTCAAATTGACATTAAGCAACTTTCAGAAGTAATGAGAAGTGTGGTTTTTGTTTAATTTGATATGTGTGAGGGTTGCACACTGTGTTTAAGATAATTTCCATCTCTGTGTGAAATGTTGCATTTATGTTAGTAAGGCTCTAGCAGTTACTCATGCAAATCTGTATTTCTTCCATTGTATTATGGCATTATATCAGCAACACATGCTGACTTGAAGTTCAGATTAGGTAACAGATATGAAATCCATTATGAGGCTGGATTTGTTCTCTTTTTTTTTTCAAGAAAATCTGTAGGTTAACACTGACTTGTCATGTATGGAACCTAACAGCAGTTTCCTACCTCTGGATCTGCAGACTAAAGCACCATAGAAAGTCCCACTAGCTTTGAGGGATTTTTAGGTTTAAGTCAAGCTTAGTCTGTAGTTAACAGTTATTTTATGTTAAACTATTGCTGCTTCTATAACTTTAGTATCCGGATTTCTCAGGTAGCTTATTTGACAGGAATAAACAATGGTCAGACTCCACAATCAGTCACTTTTGGAGCAGTAAAACAGACTGGAATGCAGGACACTCTGAATGTAGTGTGCGCTCCTGAAAGCACTGATTCCGCCTGAAGTGAACGGACAGGTTACATCCTAAATTTATTTTCTAGGAACTGGAGGGTGGTGTCTTGGAGTCTGAGTCTTACACTGAATATACTTGAGATGCAATCTGAGCTTCTGTGGTTTGGGGTTTGTTTTTTTTTTTTTGGTGTCTTGGACCTGCTCAGCTAGACTGCCAGCTCCAGTGCTCTGAGCCCTTCCCCTAAACACAGTCTGTATGCCGCAGGTCCCAAATATGTAGACCCAAATCATGGGATGTAGTGCTGAGATTTCTGCTAGAAAGCCTCTAGTCCTGTATAAAATGGAGAGATCTCTCTTCCCAGCACTGTGCCAGCCTGGACACTGTGGACAAGCTCTCTACAGTGGGGTGCAGACAGGCTGGACGACTGGGCAGCGATCTCCCTGCCATTTGTGGGAGCCACTCTGGGAAAATTGCCATCAGCATTTGTTCTCCGTGTTTATCACTCCTCTTTTCCTCTGTAAATGAAGCTGTGCTGACCAAGTAGAGCAGTTTAAATGTGATTGCCCGGGACAGTGGCTTGGCGCTGATGCAGTGTTGCTATTTGGCAGTAGGGCTCTGCAGTGTCCCCATTTTTTCCCTGTGATGGTAAATGAGGCTGTCTTCTAGTTCTAGAACATGTACGTCAGCTATACTAGTTGACGGGCCCTGTTTATTTTTAACAAACCTTTCTGAAAGGAAGCTAATGAATATTAAATAGCATTTTCTGGCTAAAATGTGTTAACTTACAAAGAGCACAGGTGGATAAAAATGAGTTTCTTTTTTAAATAAGCTTTGAAATGTGTGAAATTCTAAGGTGGTGAATGATGCAGCTTCTAACAGTATTAAATATGAGGTGTTGAAAAAGGAGAACATGTCACTGCTGCTTTATACCACTCTATAGATGAACTGTTTCTTATAAAAAGCATAGCTAATTATTGATAAAAAACCCCAACCCAAATAATATGGCAGAGTCTTCAGCTAACACTACTTATTGCCTGGTTTTGGCATATAGTATTAATGGGACTTTGGTACTCAAGACATCATCCAGAGGTCTAGGATAGTCATTGCTGTTGTCTTGATACAGATTCGGTCAGTGAGAGCAGCTGTTGTAATAACAGTTTGATGGTGTGCAGAGGTTTTTCTGTGACTATTCTAATTCTGTCCTGGACAGAAGGCTGCTTCTCGCTGTCTCTGACAATAAAGCTAATCCTACAAATGAGAAGCTGAGCCAGTCCTGCTAACGTGTCATGTGTCACTGTGTCATAAGCTTGTGGTAATGAATCTAAGGACAAATGCATTTCAGGCTGATAGATGATACTGTAAGAGGAAAACCTCACTTACAGATTACCAGCATTTCACAAATATGGTCGCTAACTTCCTACCTGGGTTCTGAAGTGATTCTCAAATGCTGCTGAAAGCAGCATCAGATCTAGAAAACTGAGGAGCACCTGCTCACACCATCGATCTCAGGAAAGGTTTATTCCATCATAAAGCTGTAAAAAGTACATATATTTTTGGTATAGTATTGACCTTTAAATACTTTATAATTTTGCTCTGTTTTTTTATGAGTGGAAAGGTTAAAGTGTCCTAAAGTACAGGTCATCTGTAGTTTATGACATGAACTGGAAATTTGCATACACAAAGCAAATTGCCCACTTAATTCTCTCCCACAAGGGAGAGAAAATAATTAGGATCCAGGCTACACAATCTACACAGAGTTGCCTTTCAGGTAGCTGTCTAGTTTTTATTTGTTAAATGTAAATAATCGACCACAAATTACCGTATGCTTTAAGAAAATTGTATTGGAGGAAGGAAGAAATTCTTATTTCTCCAAGTGACTTTTGACTTTGCAGTGTGCCAGAAGAATTCTTAATATTCCAGTGCAAAACCAACTAATTGCATATTGCTGACAGGAATATACTGTTTCCTTGAGGGGATCTAAGTTTTAATCCGATTGTATTAATCTTGCCTTGAAACAGCAGAAGTAATTTAAACAGTCTTTCTGTCTAGTTTTGGAATAATCCATTTGGAAAATTGAATTGTGTAATTTGTAATTGTTTTCCAGGGTTGCTAATGCAAAACTGTATTGGTAGCAAATTAAATGTTTAAAGTATGACCACTCTGCTAATAACCGGCTGTTAAACATTTATTTTAACGAATGCTATCACTTACTATGAATGAAATATCTGGTTTGCGTCTTTAAAAGAATTAAAGCAACTGTCCGGGATATTTTGGTATCTTCACTATAATGCCAAACAGTGAAGCTCGTTGCAAGTCTGTGAGGCAGGTACGTGTCCTTCCATGTGAAAGGACATAACTTGTGCATGGCTCCACCGATCCTGTGAGTGAAGGAGCAGCCTCTGAGAGTCATGGTAAAAACTGAATCTCTGTATCTCGTAGTTTTTCCTGGCTTTAATTTCTTCGAATAAATCAGTGTTGGACTACAGCGGGGTTATAGCCAGTGCATGGCTGTAGAATTTATTTGTGTGCATATATATATTTGTATTTTAAATAATTATTTTAAAAACTATATAAAATGTTATATATACACTTATTAAGTTAGATATGTACAGGCAAATCTCGTAAGCAGGACTAGGCTGGAACTGAAGTAGTGACAGCAGCATTTTCCATTAAATGTTCACCTGTCATATCCTGGGAAGTGTTCTACCTGTATTCATCATGGGGCGACTTCTCAGGAAGCCAAGACAGAACCATGAAGTCCTTAATTAAGATTAAAAGATGGCTGAAACCATCTTTTTTTCAACAAGATAGTTGAAAACCATTGAATGTAGCAGTTGTGTAGGCAATAAATATACTCCCTTGTGTTGTGCTCTGAAGGGCTACCCATATTTGAGAATTCTGTACAAATTCAAACAATAGTTTGAATGCTAAAGACCATTTTTAATAAACTGTGTGTTTGGCATGTTTTTGAAGGGAATGGGAGAAATGGAAAAATTTTTGCCTGAGTGATCTGGACAGGGTGAAGCTCTGTCTGCTTGTACTGTTGGTTGAGAAATGAATGATTAATCCCTGTTCTTGGTTCAGAACTCTCTTACCACACAGCTCTGCAAGTATTTTAGCTTTTAATTTAAAGAAAAGTGTTTCAGTTATATGGATTGGCATCTTAGCATAAAGGAGGCTTGAAACTAAAGGGGAGGGGAGAAGTGTGCAAAGGGAGGTCTTTAGCCCCTAACAACATAATCTTCTTGTGATTTCTCTGTTAATACTGTATTAGGTCTGAGGTCTGTGGTTTATCCACCTTTTTAGAATTAAGTTTTTACATGTACTTTACTTACTAATCTTGGATAAATAAAACACATGAATTAAACTAACCATGAAAACACTGTTTTTCAAGAGCCTGGCAGAAGGAGAGTTATTTAAAAAATGCAAAAAAGGAAAACTTCAGCGTTGAATATGTGCAGGTGTTTGGTGTCTGCTCCTGACTCCTTTCCAAAAGCACGGTAGAGGGGATGTTAGCAGCCTGCCACTTCTTCAGTGCGAATTTGGTGCATATGTGCCAGACAATTTGAACCATCTGTTGCACGAGGGTGAGCAACA